CTCAGGCCTGCGAAGGGCCGGGGGCGGGAAACAGCCTAGGGGGGAGGGGGCCCGCGGAGCCCGGCACGCCGGCCCGGCAGGTGGCGAGGGGCGAGGGGCCAGGGAACGCCCCGGGAAAGGCAGCCTCTGTGTGTCCCAGGTCATCTCCTGCGACCGCGCTTTGCCCCTGCCCCCAGGGCTGGACGAGAGCCCCGGCACCGGGTAAGTGTGGGTTCTTGCGCCTCGGTGCTGGGGAGCGCAGGGTGGCTGGTGGTGCGAGGTCCCGCACTCCGCTTCGCGGGCACAGGCTGTGAGGGTCCCGCACGTGTCCCTGTGCCTCAGGGGCCTGCCCCTTGCTGGTGCCAAGCGTTGGTGGGACGGAAGCCCCTCAAGAGCGGGAGAGGGAGTGAGCCGAGCGGAGCCGGGGGAACTGGTTCTCGCAGCCCTCGGGCCCAGCAGATCGTCTGGGCAGCCAGGGTGGGCCACGCCGCTGCAGACCTGTCGCCCCACCGGGGGTCCAGTGCCAGTGGCAGGGCACAGACATTGTAAACTCAGAATTAGGCTGTGTTCCATAGCGGTGCGTGCCCCGGAGGGAAGAGAGCAGAGGAAGGCTGGGGAGGAGTTGGATTACAAGTTTAAGTAGTGTGGCTAGGAGATGACACTGTTCCACACGGGCGAACAACCAGTGCAAAGGCCCTGAGGTATGAGTGGCATGGTGCTCGGGAGGGAATGCTCAGAGGGCAGTGTGGCAGGAGCACAGGGAGCAAGCGGGTGGGAGGAGGGGAGGGTGAGGTGGGGAAGGGCCAGGTGGGTTGACTCTGGGTCAAACGGGCACCCCGGGGAGGCCGTTGAGCAGGGAAGGACAGAACCCCATTAGGAGGTGGCCCTCTGTATGCGCGCTTCAGCCTCTGCCCCCCCCCCCGTCCCCCAGAGCAGGGGTACAGCAGTGGCAAGGATGATTGTCACAGGTGGGGGCTTTGCCGGGTCGGGCAGCCCTGAAGACCCTGAGCTGACCTGTGGCCTCCCTAGTCCCTGGGGCCCCAGGCCCTTCCACCAGGTGGGTAGCAAGTGCTGTGGTCCCCAGGGAAGACTCCAGGCGCCAGGAGGAGGGACTTGGGGTGTTGAATTGCTGGAGCTCAGGGCAACTTCCACCAGGAAGGAAGGAGCCTGACTGCAGCTGCCCTGCGTCACTCCTTGCAGATGAAACAGCCCCAATTCCTTTTTTTTCCTACTTTATTTTTTTAATAATAAATTTATTTTTTATTGGTGTTCAATTTGCCAAAATACAGAATAACACCCAGTGCTCATCCCGTCAAGTGCCCCCCCAGTGCCCGTCACCCAGTCACCCCCACCCCCGGCCCTCCTCCCCTTCACCACCCCTAGTTCGTTTCCCAGAGTTAGGGGTCTATGTTGGGTCTCCCTGATCGGCCGGTGGCACTGCTGCCTGCCTTTCAGTTGTTTTCTGTTTTCTTTTTCTGGGGAAATAGCCCCACCTCGTGGTCTCCTCGAGGCATCAGCAGCGAAGCCCACGGGCTGCCTCTCCCTTGCCTGAGCCATGATGCATTTCACTTGGCAGCACCGGTCCTCTCCTTCCCCGGGGCGGGGGCGGGGGCGCGGGCGCACACTCGGCTTCACCTGGGCCAGGCAGCGAGCACGGAGCACGGAGCACGGTGCGACTCCGCTCCCCTCCTTGGGGTGCGCCAGCCCTGGAGGACGCGGGGCACCTGCTTACCAGGCCGAGGGGCCTTCCTGGCTTCTTGCCTGAGGCACCGCTCCCTGAGGCCCTTCCCCTGTATGCTTAGTGTCGGGTTTCGGGTTTCGGGGAGACCTGAGTTTTCATGGCCTGCAATCATCCTTCAGCTTCTCCTTTGCTCAGGCGGCCCACCTTCCTGGTCCTTCCTTATGCGCGTGCTCAGGAGTGTCCCCCCTTTCCTACGTGGCATTAGGGTCCGCGAGGAGAGCTTGCCATATCTTTCTTTCCGAGACTTGAAAGTATGCTGCCTTTGGGGGCCCAGGTCTCAGGGATGGACACTTGGGTGTGACCGCTTCGCATGGCTGGCTCGCCTGGGTGCGCCTCGTGGTGTTGAGCTTCAGCGTTGGCTCCCCCTGTGCATGGTGTTTCCCTCAGGAGGTCACAGCTCAAGCATCTCTTCTCTCTTGGGGGCTCGGAGGGGAGCCCAGCATGTTGGGGGTGGGGGTGGGGCTAGGGATAACACTTCTTCCTTTCGACTTGTGGATTTTCCAAAATGGATCATGACCTAGCAGTACAGTCATGGCAAAGAAGTTTGTGCTATTTCTCAAAACATATGTAACCTATGGACATCAGAAGGATTACTTGACAGTGACACCTTCCCCATTTAATCTTTTTTAAAATATTTTATTTATTCATAAGAGACACAGAGAGAGAGGCAGAGACACAGGCAGAGGGAGAAGCAGGCTCCCTGTGGGGAGCCCGATGTGGGACTGGATCCCAGGACCCCGGGATCACGCCCTGGGCCGAAGGCAGATGCTCAACCACTGAGCCACCCAGGGGTCCCGCCTTCCCCCTTTGATTTTTGAGATAATTTTCACAGAGCATAAAATTGTTGGCTGTAAAGCCAACAATCCAGGGGCATGAAATACATTCACAGTGTTGGGCAAGCACCACCTCTTTCTAGTTCCAGAACCTTTTTATCACCCCAGGGAGAAGCCCCTTCCACGGAGCCGTTGGTCTCCACGCCCTCCCCATCTGCTCTCTGACCCTCGGGATTTCCCTGTGCCGCAGGGGCCACCCTTTTATAAGACTCAAAGATTTTTTTGATGGCAAATCACAGGTCAGTGACATTCGGAGTGATGAAAGGCAGAACTGTGTAGCTTAGGGCTGCGAGGGACAGCAGGCTGCCCCGTGGGGCCACGTGGGGGGCACCTGGGGTAGGGGTCGGTAGTTCCTGCAGGAGCCCCGTGCAGAGTGGGGATGGTGTCCTCCGGCTCTGGCACTGGAGCTGTCCCTGCTTGTCTGGTACCTGGCCCCGGAGTGTGGGAGCCAGATGGGGGGGGGTGCTTAGTGGTCCCAGAGGGAGGCGCCCCAATGAGGGAGATCATTGGGGCGGGGGCTTAGCAAAGTGCCCGCAAAGGGCAGAGAAAAGACAATTTTCTCACCTAACCTCAAAACTAGGTCAAGACAACTCTTGTGAAGTATCAGGTCTCCTCATATACGTGGAATCATCCTGTGTGAGGCCTTTTCTATCCGTGTCTGGCTTTTGTCGCTGAGCGCGGCGGCTCCCAAGTTCATCCACCCTGTAGCGTGGATCAGTACCTCACTCCCCTTCACGGCGCCAGAACATTCCGTCGTGTGTACAGACCACATCTGGTCTGTGCACCATCTTGGGTCGTGTCCGCCTTCCGGCTGCTGTCCTAGGCTGCAGTTAACCTGGCTGCAGACGGTGTCGTGTGAACACCTGTTTCCAGGTCTTTTGAACATACACCTGGGAGTGAAAGTGCTGAGTCACGTGGTCGCTGTGTTTATGTCCTGAGGCGGCAGCAGAGCACTTTCCCTTTTGATGAGAGCAGGAGTGCATTGAGCCAACAGAGAGAGAGAGAGAGAGAGAGAGAGAGGGGAGCCTAATAGAGCGCAGCTGCACAGCTCAGAGGCCTCCCTCCTGCCTCATGTTTGCTCCTCGCTTTCTTTGTTTCCCCTTCCCTCCCCCGTTTTCTCTTTCCTTTGTTTTTGCTGAAATATTTTATTTTTTTTTAGATTTTTTTATTGGAGTTCAATTTGCCAACACGTAGCATAACACCCAGTGCTCATCCCGCCAAGTGCCCCCCTCAGTGCCCGTCACCCAGTCACCCCCACCCCCCGCCCACCTCCCCTTCCACTACCCCTTGATCGTTTCCCAGAGTTAGGAGTCTCTCGTGTTCTGTCTCCCTTTCTGATATTTCCCACTCATTTTCTCTCCTTTCCCCTTTATTCCCTTTCACTATTTTTTATATTCCCCAAATGAATGAGACCATACACTGTCTGTCCTTCTCCGATTGACTTACTTCACTCAGCATAATACCCTCCAGTTCCATCCACGTCGAAGCAAATGGTGGGTATTTGTCGTTTCTAAGGGCTAATATTTTAAAATAAGTTCCCACGCTGCTTTCTCCCTAAGTGCTTCCAGAAGGACATGTCCTTCCATGACCCAGGGCCATTATCCATCCAACATGTGAGCAGCACCAGCCCCCACCCACTGTCCTCCGAGAGCCGCCCGCAGTCTCCTGTCAGGGTCCCCAGTGCCTTTGACTCCCCTTTCCTGCACGCCAGCGTCTCATCAGGAGGGTGCACTTGACTACTGGCCGTTTTTTTTTTTTAAGATTTTATTTATTTATTCATTAGAGACCCAGAGAGAGAGAGAGGCAGAGACACAGGCAGAGGGAGAAGCAGGCTCCCTGCGGGGACTCGATCCCAGGACCCTGGGATCACGACCTGAGCCGAAGACAGACATGCTGGTTGCTTCCTCACAGGGCGTGTTGAAGTGCTCCTTCTTCCTTTATAAGATCCCTTATGAACTGGGTGTGGGGTCCCAAGGCTGGGTGAGAATTGGGTGGAGCTTTGGCAAGAGCCTTGGGCGCTCCCCTGGGGTGGCGTCCTCACAGCAGGTCCGTGTTGCCTCCGTCCAGCCCTCAGGCTGGTTTTCTGTCGCGTGGCCAGCAGTGCACAGGGGAGGACATTTTGACATCATGTGGTCATCCCCTCTCCCTGGGTCTTCCACCCAGTGGTCTCAGTGTGCATCCCACCTTAAAGGAGTCTTCCTCTCTGATTAATAGAAATTTCTTTGTCTGATATATGAGTTTACTTATTCTGGGCCAATGTTGATTGACAGCTGATCCTGGGTGATGAGGGACCTTGCAGGAGTTTAAGTGCCTTGGGACCCTGTCCCCTTGCCCTCTCTCCTTTTTTTTTTTAAGGAGGAGGAGGAGGAGCTTTTATGTCTCATTTGTGTATGTCCTTCCCATCCTAGGCACTTGATGGAAGCTGCACCCATCGCGAGACAGCCTGCCCTTGGGCACTGGGCCCACCGACCGCACAGGACAATCCGCCCTTGGCCTGACTCTAAGGGTAGCTCTTATTGGAATGAGATAAGCTGGCATTGCTTCACTACTTTTCTGAGAATTTAGAAGATCCATGGTTAATCATGTGGAGGGTGTTTTCCAGCCTTTTTGGTTTGCCTGCTTCATCCTGATAAAGCCAATGTAGGCTTGAATTTCCTAAGTCATAAGGGAGCCAAATAACACTTTCCCATTTTGTTGTTTCTCAGTAAGGTTTCTTCAACCCTAAGGAAGTCTGCTGTTTGTGTTGAAGTCGTTTTTAATCCTTAACACAATGCTAATTTCAAGCAGCATAATATCCCAAATGACTGAATGCAGGCATCAAAAATGTCGCCCTCTCTCCTGTAGCAGAAATAAGCTGCGGTCACCCACACAGCGTAAGCACCCTGGACCCACTGCCCCACCAGCCACCACCTGGTTCTTCGGCTTCCCCACCGGGCAGTTCCACACTGTGGTCTCCAGTTGGTGGGGATAACATCCTCGGAGCAAAGTCCCTTTTGCCCCCACTGTTCTCCAGCATTGAGAACTGACGCAGAGAAATCTGATTCTGTCCCCAGAGCAGCCACATGGCTTCACCCTCTGCACTCCCCACCCGCCCCCAGTTTCAACACCAGGACCCCTAAGCTTGGGCCTGTCTGAGGCCTGGATATGGGCCATGCCCTTACCTGCTACTGTCTGTGCTTGCCCCCAGCCTTCAGCTCTCAGCCTTCAGCTCACCCCTTCCGAGAGCGCCCCTCCAGCTATTGTAAATCCCCCCAAAGTGCGTCTTGCTATTCTCGTCTTTCTCTTTTCCTGGAGAGTGAGTCTGTTTATGGGTGGAGTGCTGTGTGTGTGTGTGTGTGTGTGTGTGCTACAGTTTTCCTGTGAGCAACCCGGCACTCAGAGGAAAAGGGGTAGCGGCAGTGGAGCTTCTATGGGTGGCTGGAAAGTCAGGGTGGGGTGCCGCCTGCATGGCAAGAAGGAAGCAAAAAAGAGGAAGAAAGACTCCCTGTCTGGTGGCCCACCGCCCAGGTGACGAGCCAGGACAGAAGCTCGGTTTGGGAAAGTGTCAGTGGGTTGGACTGGGTCCCCCATAAGGATGTGGCGAAGTCCTGTCCCCCAGTTGCTGGGAATGGGACCTGACTTGGATGAGGTCGTGTGGAGTTGGGTGCGCCTCATCTCACACTGAGCTTTTCCAACCCCCATAGCTTGTCTGCACCCCTGCGATGGCGGCCATCCTCTTGAAGGCCAGACCCAAGGTGAGTGGGGCTCCCTGATTGTCTCCATCTGCCGCCTCCACGTGTCCCCCCACCTTGCAGCTCCTGCAACTCCCAGTCCCCCCTTAAATGCTGGGTTCTCGGGTCCCCCCACCCCATGTTTAATTGCTGCCCTCTTATCCTGGGACTCATGGGGGCGAATTCCCCTCAGCCACAGTAATGGCTCGTTTTAGGTGCTGGTATCATTTGAAGACGTGTCTGTGTACTTCACCAAGACAGAATGGAAGCTTCTGGACCTCCGACAAAGGATCCTATACAAGAGAGTGATGCTGGAGAACTATGGCCATTTAGAGTCACTGGGTAAGGATGTGACACACGTGTCCGGTCCCACTACTCTGTCTCCAAACTCAGTTTATTTTTAAGTTGCTTTGTTGGTGACTGTGGGCCCAAGAATAAATGCATTTTCGCATGGGAGCAGTAATCTGCTGCAGCCCAGCTTTTGGCTTCTGTGTCTGTAGAATGGTTTGCCGCTAGATGCTTTTGACTTGTAAGTGGTAAATGCGCGGGGTGGGGGTGGGGGGATCAAACTTACTTTGCATATGAGCTCAGGGGTCACATGCACCTCTTCTATGCAAAAGATGGGTGCACATTATCCTTGAATATTTATATCCACTGTTGTAGACTTAACTCATTCTTCTCAAGGTTGACTCGCACATTCATTTCACGTTATAGAGCGGAGCTGCTCCTTTTCCTTGTATGGAGGCTAAGACCGGCACTTGGTGTTGAGCCTGGAGAAATCCAGAAAGGAGCTAGGCACGCTCCCCTGCTGCATCTCTTCCCTACAGATCTCATCTCTGTAATCTCACCACACAGAGGGAGGCTAGTTTCTTCCCCTTGGTTCTTTCTGACCCTCACTGCACAGATCCAGGGGTCAAGGGGAGTTCTGGAATCGTCGGTTGAGTTTGGCCTAAGGAACTGAGACATCTGTTCCGTTGAATGGTGGAAACGAGGCTTTTGGGGCACAGGCGTTCCTCAGCTCTGTCTGCTTCCTAATACTTGCTGGGGCCTTGCCCCCTCTGGGTCCCTGCTCCAGCCCCTTGTCCCTTGGGATCATCACTCACATTCCCCATTTCCCACGAGCCTCCGGTCCTCTCTGCAGACAACATGGTAACATCATTATCCTCCTGGCCCCCCTCACCGCCACCATGCCTGCCTGGCCCGTGTACATTCATAGTCCTTTCCTTCCTTACAGAGGCTCTGTCCTTACTCTGGACCTTCCCAGTGGCCCTCTCTAGAAAGTTCTTTGTTCTCTGTTCCTGAAGATACTAAGGCTGGGCTGGGTTCCAGAGCGACTGATCTGCTTCATTTCCATGGACAGGCTTTTTGTCCTCCAAGCCTCACCTGGTCTCCTGGCTGGAACAAGGAGAGGGGCCCTGGGGAGCAGACATGTGTGGAACACCGGCCGCCGCAGGGATGCAGACAGGTGAGTGTGGGGCCCTGGGCCGCCTCGCCCGCGCCACTCACAAACAGCAGCAGTCAGAGGAGGGTAGTGCCACCACTTTGGGTGAGCAATTCGCTTTTGTGGCAGACCTAAACGTCACAGGGAGTTCCCGCTGAGGCTCCAGATGAAGGAAGCACCTCCTGCGGGGTCACTGCAGTTCTGCTGCTTCCAGCTCATTCCCACGTTCTCCCGCCTTCCTGTCCTGTGTGCGGGCAATCACCTTGCGCCTTCCGCGCGTCCTCCTCTCTGGATTCATCCCTCCTGGGCTCTGGTGTGGGAGGAAGAAGGGAGAACGAGCCCTAAATCAAGCTCCAGGGAGCGAGTGACACTAGTGGGTATTCTCTGTCTTTCTAGACGACAGGATCAAGACCAGGACGTCGATTTCGAAGCCGAGACATTGCTTAGAGGAACTCCCAAGGACCGACCTTCCAGCCGGTAATAACAAGAGCCAGGGAGCCGGGCCACCGGGGGACACGCCGGGGCACAGAGGGAAAGCTGCTTATTCTCCAGAGGCAGGCCGCAGCGGGGGTGACCGCCCCGGGGACGAAGGCCAGAGCGGCTGCCCGGGCGAGGGAGGAGAGGCGAGGCAGGGCAGTGGCCGGGGGGCCGGGCCGGGCCCGGTCCTCGGGCCGCGCTGCTCGGCCGCCGCAGAGAGGCGCTACCTGTGTCAGCAGTGCGGCAGGTCGTTCACGCGCAGCTCCAACCTCATCAAGCACCGGGTGGTGCACAGCGGCGAGAAGCCGTACGCGTGCCCCGAGTGCGGGAAGCTCTTCGGGCGCAGCTTCGCGCTCCTGGAGCACCGGCGCATCCACAGCGGCGAGAAGCCGTACGCGTGCCCCGAGTGCGGGAAGACGTTCACGCGCAGCTCGAACCTCATCAAGCACCAGGTCATCCACAGCGGCGAGAAGCCGTTCGCGTGCCCCGAGTGCGGGAAGCCCTTCCGGCGCCGCTTCGCGCTCCTGGAGCACCGGCGTGTGCACAGCGGCGAGCGGCCGTACGCGTGCCCCGAGTGCGGCAAGGCCTTCGGCCGGAGCTCCAACCTCATCGAGCACCAGCGCACCCACGGCGGGGCCAAGCCCTACGCGTGCGGCCAGTGCCTGAAGGCCTTCAAGGGCGTCTCCCAGCTCATCCACCACCAGCGCGTGCACAGCGGGGAGAAGCCGTTCGCGTGCAAGGAGTGCGGGAAGGCCTTCCGGGGCTGCTCGGGGCTCAGTCAGCACCAGCGCGTGCACAGCGGCGAGAAGCCCTATGAGTGCAGCGAGTGCGGCCGGACGTTCGGCCGCCGGGCCAACCTCTTCAAGCACCAGGCCACTCACCGCCAGGAGAGGCCCCACGGGCGCCGAGACTGTGGGCGGGCGTTCCCGAGCGGCTTCGTGCTCCTGGAGCACCGGCGGGAGCACCGGCTGGCGCACGGCGGCGAGGGTGGCCCCGGCGCCCAGCGGCCCGGACACCAGCGCGTCCCGGAGGGCAAGGAGCCCTGTGCAGGCGGCCAGGGCGCCACGGGCGGCGAGTGTGGCAAAGCCTTCGAGGGCAGATCGTGGCCGGGCCGTCCTCAGAAGACCCGTGGTGCAGGGAAGCCCTCGGAGAAGAGTGGCGGCAAAAAGGCGCTGGCGTCCTTGGCCCTCCGAAGAGCCCCGTCCGAGCGGCACCCCACGGCTCGGAGACTCCAGGGAGACCCGGGATGTGCGGCCGCTCCCAGCGCGGTGTGACGGCGCCGGTCCGGGACAGGCCTGGGATTAGGACACGGGGCCCCTCCGGCTCCCCTCCCTGTGCTCAGTGACGATGCGGCGTGCACCGGCGTGCACCAGCGTGCCGGCACACGTGCAGAGCGGACATCTGGGCAGATGCACGCAGCTACGCATGCAAGTGTGAGGACAGCCGGCCGTGGGCTCGGGTGCCTGGGGCTCCGGGGGAGCAGTCTGTCTCCTCCTGTGGGACCGTTCGCCTCACACCAAGACTTGTTAGTGTTTCCAGGTAGAAGCACTGAAAGCACTTTAATCCTCTAGGAGCCTGTAAATGGAGGGGACTGGAGAGACTTCTAGAACCAGGCCGTGGCCGGACTGGGACATCACCTCAAAGTCATCACGAAAGGGTCTGAGGTTGGACTCGGGCCAGTACACTCATGGACTGCTCGTGCCCAGTTGTCAGGCCGCAGGAGGTGACGCCTCCCCTCTGAGCCTGTTGCCCCGTGGGCAGAAACAGGACAGCATCTGTCCCTGTGCCTGAAAGCCACTGCCTCCCATGGGTGCCCCCGGCTGCCTCTAGAGGCCAAGCAGCACCCAGGTCCCCTCTTCTCGGAGCCCTGGGCCAGGGCGGGGGGACGGGGGACCCTCCGGCCTCTCCCGTCAGTGTGGGCTCCCGGTAAGACAGGGCACCAGCTGCGCTGCCCCCCTGCCCCCCAGGCTCACCCTCCTCACTGCCTTCTGCCCCCCCAGACCCCACCAGCAATGACCACCCCGGCCTCCCTGCCCCTCCTCCCACCCTCAGTGCCTGAAGCTTCACACTTAGCTGCTCCCCCTCAAGCAGCCCCCCCCCCCGTGGCTGCTGCCGATCGTCGGATCGGAAAAGAAACAGGATGGGTTCGGATTTTGCGCAGAGCGGGCCCCGTAACGGCTCTCTCGTTCGATCTGCCTTTCGCAGGACATTTTTATAATATTGCAGGTTCGGCTGCTTTGGATATTTTTGCATTCAGGAGTAACGTAAGTTAAAGATGGAGATTTTTGCCATATGAGAGTGTTGGTGACTCACTCCTTAAATAAGAATCACCCCACCCCGCGCCCCCCGCACCCTGTGAGGTGCACTCGGGCAGGAGAAGCAGATCCCTGATGAGACAGGGCACACCCTTCTAAATGGCATTGACCTCAGGCTCCCGCGGGCTGCGGCGGACAGGCTCCCCCTGTTCCGTCCACACTGCCTACCCCCCCCCAGCTGGGCCCAGGCATTCTGCCCCCGGGGATTCTCAGCCCAGCGTCCTGATCGGCTTGCCACCTCCTTCCAGCCGTCCTCACCGCCGGGATCTCTGGCCGGTGAGCGTGTGCTGGCAGCCCCCGCGCTGGGCCTCCAAGGAGCGTGCACCTTCCCTGCCACCAGGGGCGGCTGGCCGCGACATCAGGACCCCGTGGGAAGACCCGGAAGCAGAGTTCCTGCCAAGCACGCTTCTTGGAGCTCCAGTCACTAGGACGGCTCCAGAAGTGAGAGATACCGATAGAAACAAAGACCTTGACGTAGAAGTTTGACATAGCTCTGTTCAAATGAGTTTCAGGCATTTACAACTTTTGGAAAGTTCTAGCCTTCTTATAACTTGCTTTTCTCTCATGTTCCCTTTCACTGGATTTGCATCCCCTTGTCCTTTGATTGTCTTCTGCTCTTTGCATCACGTTTGTCCTTGTTGGCGCATCATAAACTTGGCGTGGCTGTGGCCCCCTTAGCACCTTACCTCCAGCTCTGTCTGAGGGGCTCAGACGGACCTGCAACGGGGGGTTTTCCAGTGGAAAAAGGAGTATCAGGAAGTGTCTTGGAAGCCCACGCGTGGGTCACCGGGAAGTCTGTGTTTTCCTGACGCACAATCTTCGTCAGGGCTGGCGAACCCGTCCCTGTGCAGAGCAAGGGACAGTGGCAGGAGGCCATGCACTGGGACTCCGGCCTCATCTGGGTCACCTGTGGCCTGACCCGGACTGGGGCAACACGTGCCACGTGAGGGGAACCAGAAAGAAACCAGATCTGTTGGCTCTGATGTCCATTTCCATCGCTCTGGTAAGTGACCCTTGTCACTCCTGCAGGCCAGTCTAGTGTCAGCCCACTGGTTCTCCTGGACAAGCCACCTTGACTATTAACGTGAGCTCTTTTTTTCATGGGACTCACATCCACAGATGACTAGTACAGGGTGGGGGGCAATGGACAGGTGTTCTCAGCAGAAAATGGATCTGCCAAGAGAGATGCTGGCCACGCGTGCCCTGGCTTTGGAGCGCCCTGATAAGGCCCCACGGTCCCCAAACACTTACCCGGATAGGCGACATTTATAATAGCACAGCAATGCATCTTTTTTGTCAGTTGTCCGTATAATCTTGCTTGTCTTCCTGAGATTTGCAGTGCAGGGCAGTCAGGAGTACCATTTCCCCCCTGTCTGGTGAGCAGGTTTGCAGGGTGAGCTGGGCAGGGATGGCTGGAATCCAAGTCAGAGTGGGCCTGGGGGGCGGGGGGTGGACATCTGTGTTTTTCCTTCGAAAGTGCTTGGAAAATGGGCTCCCACCCCTGGCTGTGTGGGGACAGCAGTGATGGCCCACACTCGCTTTCTGGGGAACCTCGGAATGTACTGGAAGCACCTTTCCCAAGAACCTTCCTGGACACCAGCGCCCCTGCACTTCTGGAGGGCCGCCCGCTTCACACTTGGCCCCGGGAGACGCTGCGTCCGCGCGCAGCCTGAGCCTCTGCACCACTTGCCCTCTGAAGCTTTGGAGAGCTGTGAACTTTTCAAGAGCTGTGGAAAGGCCGTGGCAGGGGGCGCCTGGGGGGCTCCGCCGGTGAAGCGTGTGCCTTCGGCTCAGGGTCCTGGGATGGGGCCCCGCGTCGGGTCCCCTGCTCAGCGGGGCGTCTGCTTCTCCCTCTGCTTCCCCGCTCGTGCGCTCTCTGTCCCTCTTGCTCTATAATTAATAAAGATCTTTAAAAAACAAATAAAAATTAATAAAGAAAGGCCGTGGCGGTACCTCCGTGTAACCAGTAAATTGTCCTGACTGAATTCATTTACTTTGGGAGCGATCGAAGGAGGGTGTGGGAGTGCTGGCCCTGAAAGGAGCCGCCTCGTGGTTTAGGGTCACCAGATAGCAGTTGGGTTAAAGGCACCGGTGTGCAATTGCCGGGGCCAAGCCAGGGGGCGATGTTCGGGGTGAAGGTAGAGCAGAAACCCTGGAGGATGAGACTCCTCGGACGCAGGGCGGCCATCCGAGGCCAGGGGACACGGGGACGTGGAAGCCAGGAAGGGCAGAGCGGCACAGCAGTGCCCTGAGAAACACTGCCGTGCCTTGGCTCCAGTGGCTTCTGTGTGTTCCGGGTGCGTGGCGGCACCCCCGCCCTCGGGTGGGTGCCCTGTCCGGCCCCGGGGGGCTGTGTGCGGAAGGCGGCTCCACCTTCCCCCTTCTGTGGTTTGCTTCGTGGCCTCCCTGCGTGGAGGGGCTCCAGCGTGGACGCCTGTCCGCCTGTGGGCCCAGAGGCCCCTTCTCCTGGTCTTGCCAGCTGTCCCCCTCCTCGCCCGGCCACATCCAGGGCCCTTGGTCCTCTCCTCTGTCCCCTATCGGTATGATCGTTGAGTCACCGGATCCCGTCCGCTCTGGATCCTGGTTGCCCCAGCTGTCCTGCCCGCGCGCGCGGCCACGTCTGAGTGCAAGCAAGGGTGGGCCACCCAGTGCTCACCCAGCTCACGGCAGCACCCACGCTGGGGGCTCTACACCTTGCAAGCATGGGCTGTGTCTAGAACCTCGCTCAGAGAGCCTGCAAGACTCGCTGTGTTTTGCGCAGCGGGCAGGTGCTCTGAACAAACACATAGGCCGACGCCGTGTTCGTGGGACTCGGATTCGCCCCCAAGGGAGGGAAAAGCAGGCCTGGGAAGGGGGCGCTCAGGCTCCCATTGCCGTTGTTGCCCAACACCCTTAGCTTCTAAATGTCTGTGGAACGGTTTGCTCTCACCCCCCGGGGTTGGTTCTGCTTGGCCATTAGGGCAGCACGGGTGCCGGGTGCATGTCTCGTTAGGTGGCAGAGGTGACAAGCGGTGTCCTGAGGCCAGAGCAGGAGGAAGTATCAGGGGAGCTCTTGCAACACCAAGTAGGGGTCAAGCGACTTCAGGCAGGATGGAGGGAAGGAAGGGGGAGCACAGGGTGTGGGCAGGAGCCTGGGAGAGCAGAGGATTTTCTGGAGGACGGTTGTGGGGTACACGGCCATGGGAAGCCGAGAGCAGGAAAGCCTGGGAGGCCAGATGAAGTGTGGATGTGGCTCCCGATGAGGGACAATTTCTTGTGAACATGAAAGGATCATTCTAAGATTGAGGTGGGGGGGAGTTGACGTGAATTCTGGCTGCTAGAGCGTGCTGGGGCCCTCCAGGATGTGAGGTCACGGCTGCTTCATCCTTACATAGCGGTGTCACTGGCACAACAGGAAACTGTGCGTGTTTAAGGTGCACGATTAAATGAGCCTTCACACGTATACACCCACGAAGCCATCAACACAGTGAAGACGGTGAACATGGACACTCAGCACCCCCAAAACTTCCCGGGCCTCTCTCCAGCCCTCCCTCCTTCCTGCCCCTCCCTGCTTCCCAGGCCCACGACCCCTGCTCTGTGCCTGTCCCTAGACATGAGCTTGCAATTTCTAGAATGATTTCGAGGTGCATCCAGGTTGGCGTGTGTCCACTACCAATCTTTCACTTTCTGTCGCTGAGCACTTGTATGGCTGGACCACAGGACCTGTCGAATACTTGTGGATGCCCACTTGGGTTGTTGCCGGTTTGGGGCCATGACAGACAAAGCCGCTACGAACACGCGTGTACAGGTGTTTGCGTGGACGTGTGTTCGTTTATCCCAGGCATATAGTGAGGAGTGGAAGTGCTGGGTCCTCCGGGAGCTCTATGGCCACTCGGGACAAAGTCTTGCGTCCCTAGCAGCAGTGTTTGCAGGTTCTGGTTTCTCCGCGTGTCCATCCTCTTTATTCTAGTCACCCTGGT